GTCACCCTACCCAGTCCCCATTTCTCCCAGGATAAAAAAAAATGTATTCTTATATTATTTACAGTTAGAATAATTATAGTAAATTTATTACAGTGATTTGACATAAAATAGTCACTTCTAAGTGACACAGCGTTATAAAGGGTTAAATTAAAATCTACAATTGAATCGAAATGTTGTACGATCGAATGAAAAACCAGAATAAATTCAATTATTTCGACGAACCACTTTTGCATGTTATTTAATGAAGGACAGTATCGTACACAGGGCAACCGACAATTTAAAATTTACGATCACGTGAACAACTCTTCGGCCTCTTCACTTTTCTCCTTTTCCCTTGCACGATCTTTCGTCTTTTCGATATCAACACCAGGATAATACATCGTGTCTGACTCGACACAGAACGGCAAAGGGTTAAAATAGCAGAAATATAAGTAACATGAAGCGTGTAAAATTTCGTTCAACTTATACAACTTCTTTCGTACAAGAACCACGACACGTTATTCTCGACATACGTCGTTGGAAAAAAAAACGCAATAATGCATCAACGCAGCAACATTAAAATCTACGTACGTGAGAAAAAAGGAAGAAGCGAAAAGCGAGAAACAAAAAGAGCGTTAGAGGGACATTATTCCGGGTCAGGTTCCAAAAAGCTGCAATCGGTTCGAGTTTCTGTAATCGGAGTTAAACGCGCCTCGAGGCAGTGCGTTTAAGTCGAAAAACCGCGGTAACACCGGCGATACCTCTTAAACCACTTTAATGACGCTTCAACGCATCGCGAATTTAAAATTACACTGACGACTCACTTGGGCCGCACCGATAAAGATCGTGCTGATACAAAAACCGGCCCGACCCGGTCGCGCCAACTGATAAACCGCGATAAAATTCATGCGCGCATGTATCAACGATGTCGAAGCGCAGCCTAGTGGCACGTTCACAAGCGGAGATTGCTGCAATTTCGCACTGAACCAAATGTCAACGACAATAGGATCGAGGTTCAATTTTGTCTCACAGCCGTCTGATGTGTAACAACGCTTCTTCGAACACCTACAAATCACGACAAAGCAGCAATGAGTACAGCAAAGAGAGAATAATATAAGACACTCACAAGCCACAATGATTAACTCTACTTTTTGATATTCCTCCAATTTTAGTATCAAAGCGGATGCTTGGTGTTTAATTTTTCATAAATAAAAGAAATGTAATAAATTTTAGGTTATGGAGTTAGTTAAAACCGTGCAGTCTAATTGCTACTAATTTGAAAATTGTTAGAGATCAAAAAGTGAAATAATAATTGTACGATTTTTAACACAAACGTGTATTGAATAAAATATGTCGAAAGAAATTGTACGAAGTTATTGGAAATTAGTTATAGCAATTTCCAATGTAACGCTGTGAATTCACAGTAGTGTGAATGTATATTATGTCCGACGTCTAACATGGAACTTATTTTACCCCACAAATTGTGTTTTCCAAATTCAATATGGTTGAAAATAAAATTATGTAACACGTTTTCGTTCTTCTCGATGCACCGCAGAAAAAAGCTGCACAAAATAATTCCGCTTCGTCTGAAAAAGATAGAATAATCTAAATTAACAATCTACAAAAAAGAACAATATTTCTGAGTAGGTCATTTATTCTCCACCGTACGCCTGCAGTGCTTTAATTTACAATCTTTCTTTGTAGGACTATCGAGAGCAACTTAAAAATGCGCTGCAATTACCACAATGGACACTGTATATAATTATATGTATTTAAGCGACACCTGTTCTGCAGTTGAAGGGTAAACCTTGCATAAGTAGAGTCTTTTACAAGTAAAGTCAAATAAAGTACAATAATTCGAGTAATTTACGATCAAATAAAATTTCCGTTTCTTTATAAAACTGTACTATTCAATTATTTATTACTCGTGAAACGAGCATCTGTAATAATAACAAATACGAACGATTCAAACGATAAAAATAATTATTCACATATCTAGAAAATAAACGTGCAATCGAATAATCAAAATTTCACCAGACAAGCTCCCCATCTTACGTATAAAACGTGAACCTATCAATTTTATTAATAATTCAATAATTAAACTGCAAGCAGGGTTTCCAATAAAACGAGAACACAACTCGTGTGGCGCAATGAAAACGGCTGAAACTTCCGTGAACGCGGCGTGCCCGTGCGCAAGCTGCAGAAATAGCAGTCGCGCGATACGATAAAACGATTAAGCGGATCGTCGTGAGTTTGGATGGCAGGTGCCAATAAAAATCGTTTACGTCTTATTACGGATGACCTAGATTTTCGCCGAGCTACAAGCAACCAGCCCTTGTAATCTTAATAAGGTGATCCACGTAGCGCACC